CTCTCTTTTAAAATCCTTTTCTTCCTTCTTCCTTTTCTCTGCTCTCTTCACCCCACTCTTACTCCTCCTAAACCTACAATCATATCGGTTCCCCCTCTGTTTCTTTTTGTCGTCTTTCTCTTTCCTTTCCTTTTCCATCAAGCACTGCGACCGTCACACAGACGAGGTCTGTCACGATGTTAAGACGTATATGACTTGATGGACTGAAACGTCTTATCTCGCTCTTACCTTTTCTCATACTGTTCTTTCATGCTGTAATCTATCGTGTCTTTGCCATTTAGGCTTCCACCGTGTAGCTACACAGTTAACTTCTCAAACTTCAAGGACCAGTTTGTCACAATTTCTAGCTACCGGGTTTCCGAGCGTCTCATTGCAGCACGAAATACCGCAAAAACGCATGATCGTATGGGGCTCGCCTGGTGCGCATCACCAATGATTTTAGAATCTTTTCTGTTTCTGTACAGCATTCTTTCGTTCGTTCGCAAGTGAGTCCCTCAACTACACGAGGCGACACCACGGTGCTGAACGTAGGACAACTGCTAAAACTCGGCTCGGCCTGGCAATTACTGAAACTTTACTCAGTCTCGTAATATGCACTTATTTTTCGATTCGGGTTCCGAAAATTGCGATACCCAGTTTCTTGTCTCGGTAAAGTTGTGGTGTCGTATTTAAGACTGCTGATCTCCCTTTGGGATTAGCTTCAGGCCGGGCATTAAAAAGCAGGATTTAGGTGAGAGAGGCCTATAAAAGCAAGCATTGGAGAAGTTGTGTGGGGCCGCATCAAGGGCGAGAAGGGGTGCGACGCTGATCGAAGCATGTGAGATTTAGCATGGACAATTGCAAACTTACATCCGACAAGCCATCGAGCAAGACGTTTGCATGCGTCAGGAAGCGATACTGGGCAGAACCGTTCGTAAAATTATCAACAGCAATGAATTCATCAATCAGCGCACCCTGTGCCTGAGGATACATCCACCTCGCACAGGCCGCAAGCAGCCGCTGAAAATTCACGTGCTGCAGGGAATTCGAAGTTGCAAACCGTACGCCTGTGCAGTGCACAGCCACCGCGATATTCCTCCCATAGGCGGATTCAGGACAGCCTTCGACGGGGGAGGGGGCACGAGTGGGGCTTCCGCTGG